GAGTTTATAAGGGAAGTGTTACAGCCTTGTGCTTTTGTTTGTTTGGTTTGGATTTCATAACCATGTCATGTTAACCTGTCTCCCTGTCATGCAAAGACTGCAAAAACCATTAGCAGCCACTAGAACTGGAAAGTTTTATTCATCACATGTGGCCTTTAAGCGTCTTTTAAACTTCCATTTTTCTAACTGATGAGTTCGACCGTCACTAAAAGTCAGCGCCACACTGAACTGGGAACAAGAGAGAGATAAATGGATTATAAGCATCCTAAAGACAAGAGAGATTCCCTGCAGCTTCCTCCCTTTATGGACACATCTGTCCTTGTTTTCTGCCTCTACCACAGCCAGGCTCCCCGCTGTCGTCTGTTATTGTTGCTGGATCTCGGCGCACCGTTCATGACTACGAAAGCTCAACTTTTCTTTGAATGTGGAACCAGGCCTCTGAGTCTTGGCTCTTTACCTCTGCTCCCCTCTCTTTCTGAGAGATGTTGCTTTCTGTCTTGGTTTAAATCATTTAAAGCCCCAGAGAAGCTAAAGCAGTCAAGGACGCCGTGTTATTCGAGGTCAGGAAAGGTTAGATTCAGGATCTCTATTTACACGACTTTCTCTTTGTTCTACAGCCAATAGGATGCATGCGAGTAGTGGGCCAAAGTGGGCAGCCATCCCATCATTAACACTTGTGGAGCAGAAAATGAGTCATGCTTCCAGTCAGAGCTAAACTTGTTTTCCTGTTCACTGCTTACACGTCTGTTCCTATTCACATGTCTGCAGCTAGAGTTACGAGAACCCCCCCTCTCTGTTTTATAGAGCATAATTAGAGTGTTCCCTGATTAACCAGAGGAAGGACTCATCATCGTTTAGTACAGAGGTTTATGTGCTCCTGCTGCTATGCTCTCAGTTTCTTCTCACACAGATTTCTTCCTGAACTCAACAAGAAGCTTTTCAGATCCGCCCGACAGCGTCTTTGGTACATAATCCCACTCGAACTCTTAAAGAGCAACATCAGATCCTTTTTGTCTTCCTCCACAAGGAACTGGTGATGAAATTGAGGCAATCACAGCCATTATTTGTCGACTGTTTTGCCGGTGTGCTAGCAGATGTTGGGGCTAAAGGGGAAAACATTTAAGGTCTGTGATTGATGATTTCGGGGTAATGAATCAAGCTTGTAACCATTTCAGAGCGCTGTCAGATCAGGCCCCGGCATGCTTCCACTTGAGAACAGCTGGGCCTGAAAACTGCAAAACCAGGAGCACCCATCTTTCCTCTTCCTTTCATCTCCTCCCGTCTTCTGCTCTCGTTGCCGGTTAACTGCCCCAGACAGTCAATGTGCTTCTCGCCGTTTGGATGCTGGGAAAGAAATCAGCTGCTAAACTTAGCAGAAGATGCAGAGAGGGAAAAAAGGAAAGATCAGGTTGACTGTTGCTTAATAAGACTGTCCAGAGTGGGGCAGGCAGCTCTTGTCCCTGTGGATGATGATTTTTGATTAAATTAAACTGGTTGAAACATGACTTTGAGATAATGTCCATCTGGTGTCGATTTTGGTGGTTTTTTCTTTTTAGGCCTGGCACGTCCTCCGCTTCTTCAGTTTGTTCAAGTTCTGTGAGCACACACTGAACACCATGTCAACAAATGCCAAGTTTTATAGCTGTGTGAGAATCGCCTCGTTGGTGCAAAAAATACTATTTTGTGTAAGTCCGACTTATTTTTTTGGCCTTTTTAAACTAAAGAAATTAGAATAAAATATGTGTTTTTGTGACAGGCTCATTTTTCAAGTTGTTTGCCGTCTTCCTCTGAAAACGGTT